GGGTTTAGGGGTTTGGGGGTTTATGGTTTAGGGGTTTAGGGTTTAAGGGTTTAGGGGTTTAGGGTTTAGGGCTTAAGGGTTTAAGGGTTTAAGGGTTGAGGGCTGAGTTACATAATTAGAATAGGGTTATGAGGCATATTGTACTGTAACTATAATAATAAGGAACCCCCCAAAAATAGTATCGGTAAGCAAGTGCCCCATATTATAGGACCATCAGGCAACCTAGGGGTCCATTTAGGGTGAGGGTCAGTTGTCTTCGTATCCAGAGACTTCACGACCTCTTGAGCGCTGAAGCCCCCTATATATCATGCCTTCACTTCGGGTTTTTAAGTTTTCGGGTACATAGGTCATGATGCTCTGATATATAGAGATTATTAGAGATACTTGAAACCTAGCCCCAAGACACGACCTAGCTCGAAACCACGAGATCTGCCTTTTACCTTGCGGTGATCAGTGCAGACATCCTGCTGAAACCCCTGCTTGCTAGGATGACAGTCGCTAATGCTCCGCAACCTTTAGCCCTCCACCCTGATGCCTAAACGGTCAACCACTCTTGACGAAGTTTTGTATCCTATTTGCAGCTCCCTATGAGGATACCCTTTTTGGCCCTTTTGAAGGACTTCGGACATAAACCACACCGCTTTGGGGTTCAGGTTTGATAGCTTTCCCGCCATAACTTGACAACGGGACTGGAGCTGCAAGGGTCCAATGTCTAAGGCACCGGCGTCCAATGTTGGAGAGCCTTTCAGACGAAACGGCAGTTTCAGAAAATAGATCTATGTCCAGTTTCGTACATAATGTCGTTTACATAATTTATACAATATCAGGACCCCGACAAAACACCCGGCAATCTGTTGAAACTGTTGCGGTTGAAGGTTTTCCAAATCAGGGGCTTCTGGTCGGGACTAAGGATGCACGCCACCACCAAAAAAGGGGGCAGGATCAAATCGCAAAGCTTAAATAAGGCTTTTGGCGTACATTATACTATAACTATACTCAGGAACCCCCAACATAGTATAGGTAATTATTTTGGCCCCTATTTTAGACGCTGTAGAACTTGAAATGATTGAATTTGGGGATCAACGATCCCCAGAAAGGGTCTAGGAGGAGGCAGATTTTCGGGGAACACCTGGTGCGGCATGAGAAAAGCATCCCGGAAAGACAACACCAATTTTTGGATTCTGAGGTTTAGCGCTTGGGGTTTAGGGTTTAAGATTTCTCTCCCAAATCCGTAGCTAAAGTTTTCGACCCCTAAGGGCCCTAAACCCCGAAAGGTCAACTTAAATCCCCCCAAATCCTATAAACACTGTAAATAAACCATGAACCCTAAACTCAACCCTATAATCACATAAGCTAAACCCTACACTCCCTACACCCTAAACCCTAAACCCTCCCGAAAACTGAAACCCCAAAAAAGGAACCGGCTTTTCAACATGCCTCACCCTGCTCTGCGAGTCGACGTGCAAGGGACATGCGTTCCTGCCATGGCGGCAAAGAGCCCTAACCCAAACAGGGCCCCAAAAGGGTTTAGGGTTTAGGGTTTAGGGTTTAGGGTTTAGGGTACATAAGCAAAAATTAGGATAGGGATATCCCATATAAATCCCCTTATAATGAAGCCCAATAAGGTAGGGATATCCGTATAACATGCTTATGCTTATGTCCTTTTTGGGTTCCTAACCTAAGGGTCTAGTACATAAAGACCATATACTCTCCTACTTTTTAAACCTATATAACTACTATCCGTAACCAAAGTACCTATTTAATGGGTTCTTTGGAATTTTGGGGTAAGAGTTACAGTGTAGGTCAGGCTTTTAGGGTTCAGGGCTTAGGCTTGAGGTATAGGGTTTAGGGCTTATGGGGCGCTTAAGGTTTATAGGGCTTAGGGTTTAAGGAAAAGGGGATAGGGCCTCTTGGGCTTTTCTGGTTTCTAGGGATCAAGCCTGAGGGCTGACGCATTTTGTTTCTAAACCCTAAACCCTAAACCCTAAACCGGGTTTTGGATTTATGGGAACGGTTCCTGCAAAGGGAACCATAAGAGCAGCTAGGGTTCAGGGGTTAGGGGTTAGGGGTTAGGGTTTAGGGTTTAGGGTTTAGGGTTTAGGGTGTTGGTACAGTACAGCGGGTCGAAAAAATAGGAGTCTTCTACTCTCCAAAGCACTGTAGCCTACAAATCTACTTTCCTAAACTCAAGTTCCCAATTAACTATCAGGAGTCAGGGTTTAATTTTTGGGCTACAAATCTACTATCCTCAACTCAAGTACCGAATTTCTAGGTTTGCATTGGGCACTTGGGATACAGTAGAGTGATACTTAAAAATACATGCGGACCAAAAAGGGAGTCGTAGGACGAGCGCTTCATCTGTTTTTGGACCCAGAAAAAATTGAATACCAGGCCGTCATGGAGAAGATATAGGGCCCCATACATGTCCTACTGTTTGAAGAAATACACCCTACAAGCAAGGGGCACCGTTTGGTGGGGTTGAGTCTACAGGAACACTCCGACAAGCGCAGAACTTAAGATGATGTACAACCCTGCAAAGTAGATCCGTGTAGAGCCTTACCCACCCATAAAAATCACATCAAACTCTATAAGCCCTCACCCTAACCGCCCGGGTACCTACTATATAGGCTGCTAGAGCCCCGTGGGCCCTATGTAGTAGGTACCTGGAGGGCTAGGGTCATGTAAAAGAACGCCCGCCTCACCGAGTGCTTCCAGGTCCGCTTGGGCCCTCGCGACGTCGCCGGGGCCTCCCGGGCTTCTTGCGGCTTTTTAGGGAGCTGGCAGAACTCAAAGCGTCCTATGTGCCTATATGGTAGAATGCAGGGCTTCAAGATTCGGGAATTATTGTTGTGTGGTGTTGGAAAAATATCCCCCATATCAGTACATAGGATCCCTTGAAAAGGAAGGAGAAAGAGTTTAGTGTTTAGGGACTCAGGATTCCAGGGCAACGGGAAAATGAGCATAATGGCGGGGACGCAAATGAGGGTTTAGGATTTAGGGCAAATGGGAAGACAAACAGTAAGAAACAGAATCAGCATGATCGTACTGCCAAAATCACGGCACTTCAACAATGGAATCAGGGGTCAAACATAGCCCAGAACAATGCCAGGAAGGGCAAAACTAATCGCAAATGGCGTAGCAGAGTCTACGATTTACTCGGAACACATGAGACACCACTAAAACTCCAAACCCTCAACCTCTCAATCCAAAGCCCGACAGTTTGTTGAGTTTCTGCAGGGTTGCTTAACTTTAACATCCCTGTTGCTGAAAGCCTAGAATCCTGGACCACCCTGCCCGAAACCCTACTTAAAGGATCATGGGACTTAGTAAGTAGGGTTATAATTAAGGTAACTATACTTATAACCCCAACTTCGGGACTTATAACCTTACTTACTAAGTCCCATGATCCTCCAAGAAAACCCTAGTTCCCACATGAACGCCTTCACCGAGCAATGGCTCCGCGATGAGTTCGGCCTGGCTACTTCGAGTTTCTCCCGGGGGGTTTAATAGGGTCCCTTCAGTTCCTTTGGGCGTTCCCTATCAGCAGAACCACGGTTTAGAGCTTAGGGGCGTAGGGGTTCGGGGTTTAGCATAGAAGGGTTGAGATAAAAAAAAAAACCCAAACCTTGAACCCCTAAAGCCTAAACCCTAAACCCCATATAAACCCCGCAACCCTGAACCCTAGGGCTGCTATAAGAGGCTTCGGGCTTTGGTCTGAGCATCTTTGGGCGCGGTTGGGAGCTAAGGTGTGGATATTGAGGGCGGAAGCCCTATAAACCCTAACAGGAAATGGTTGGGATCAGGGGACCCGATTATAAAAAGTATTGAAATCCGCAGACAAGCCTGCTTGCTAGGTCCTTGACTGCGTGATCCATTGAACAAACTAAGCCCGCCCTACAACTTTGAGGGCCTTCATAAGTAGAACAGGGTTTTGATGCTCAGTATACTATACTTGTAGTATAAAAAAACCCTAAACCCTAAACCCCTAAACACACAGTCCTGGACCTAAATATACCCTTCTTCTCCGCAGTGTCAAACTCAACCCAATACCGTGGAAATATGTCTAGGAGAGTCAGGGCATCCCCTAAACCCTGAACCCTAACCGTAAGCCCTAAATTCACACCCGGGCCCCTGAAATGAACAGATTGTTTGAGAAAAATTCCCAAACAATCAGAATCAAACTATACATGTTGTTCAGCTGCCGTTTATTTCAAACGACCGATACCATTTCCGAAGAAACTATCGGTGAAGGTTATCTATAGATTATAAGTGCAAGTTATAATCTTATAAATCATTGTTTACCGGAAATATTGTATACGTATATATGTATGTATGTATGTATGTATGTATGTATGTATGAATGAATGAATGAATGAATGAATGAATAAATAAATGAATAGTTATATATATATATATACTTATATACACATACCAGCGTTTACTTTGGTTTGTTCTTATGAACAACTGTGCAAAGGTAAATGTGTGCAACTATGACACACCATCATGAAAAACAGAAACTTAAATCTTGAGTTACCAAATCGATACACTGCACAAGTACCAAGCTAGCCTGTACATCAAAGAAAGCAAGTCATAGAGCCGGCTGCGTCACGGTCTCACCAACGCACTGTCTTCAGGCAATCACCGCAGATGGTTTCGCGACGGGGACTTCTCGTATGAGTTCCCGATGCCCACTTCCACCTGACGAGCTTTTCCCAACTTGCACCGAGTGCAAGGAGCTTCGCCGGCGTGGTAGGAGAACATGCCAATAGCCTCCAAGAAACTCGGGGCACCGAATTCTAGACAGGCTTCACAGCCTCTTGCGCAGTCAGCACAAGCAGCACATCTCTTCATCAGGACGTCATTGACATATGTCTTCTGATCCGCCATGCAGATGCTCTGGTGTTGCTTGCAGACCATGCCCCTAAACCCTAAACCCTAAACCCCTAAACCCTAAACCCTAAACCCCTAAACTAAACCCTAAACCCTAAACCCCTAAACTAAACCCTAAACTATCTGTTGTTCAAGCTTCGGAATCGCGCTCCGCTGCTCGTCACAGCGTAGCGAGTGTTCACCGGCGACTCGCTGATGACAACACGAAGAAGATCCTCTATGGGCTAAATGGGTTTAGGGTTTAGGGTTTAGGGTTTAGGGTTTAGGGTTTCAATTCTGCACGCCCAAGGTACTCGTATCTGACTCCGGGTTGAAGACAGTTGGATCTGCCTTCCTAAACCCAGGGCTCAGAGAGGCAACCCTGAAGCACCCTGGACACTCCAAGCCTAGACCGTTACCTTGAGTTGTAGGGGCCTTGACGACTAAACTAAGATTTGCGGAGTATATCCTTACAGTAGAAAGTAAGACAAAGAGTGCTTTAACTAACCATATGGGCTCCTATAGTCTTGTATTCCTTAGTTAAGAGCTGTCGGAGCCTCCGCCATGAATCCCGTAAACCCTAAACCCCTACAGCCCTAAACCCTACCCTAAACCCCCAAACCCCTGAACCCTAAAACCCTGAAGCCTTAAACCCCGAAACCCCCTTGCTCAAAAGCACCTCACGGTGCTGCAACTCCCATCGCAGAGCCTGCCCAGCTTCGTGGTCTATGTCTGAGGTAAAACATTGCTTTTTGTTGAGTTAGGCTTTAGGGTTTAGGGTTTAGGGTATAGGGTTCAGGGATCAGAATCTAGGGTTTAGGGTTTAGG